ATATATTTTTCATAATATATATATATATATATATAGTAATATATAAATATATGAAAAATTGATGTGGGTACTCAAATGAAAGGTCTCGATGAGTGTAACATCAGGATGAGCTTATATCTTTAAAAATGTCAATAGTTCACAAGATACTCGGTCATTTCTTAATTATGTATCTAGAGATGAAAAAAAGGATATCATTTTAGCAGCTTCAGCTTCTCCCTCAGCTTGAACAATCTTCTGTTGTCTCTCCTGAACAGCTCTCTCCACAACAAAAGCAGCTCTCTGAGCCTCTTGCTGAGCAACCTGCTTGGCTTCAACTGCAGCGGTGTACTCCTTACCAAAACTGAGCTCGGTAATAGAAACATCATCTAGAACAATGTTCCAGTCCTTGGCGCGCTCGGTCAGCTCTCTGCGGACCAGCATTGAGACCTGCTGTCTCATTGTTATCAACTGGGAAGCGTTGAATTTAGCGACGACTGATTTCAAGACTTCGTTGCAGATACTTGGCAGAACCTTAACATTATTTTATTAATTAATAAAATAATTTTTAAAAATTAAAATAAAAAAATTTTAAAAAGTCAAAAAAAAAAAATGATTATTTAAATAAACTTGAGTCTTATATTGTTAAAGATTATCAAGATGATAATATACTTTTTCATCATAGTCCAATCCTAATTGCCGGTACATAACAGGCAGTGCCATGGCATCAGGTCGTGAAAGAACTCTCAGAGAAATGTTAACCATCTGCAAATCTTTGGATCCTGTTGGGGAAGAAATTTTCCTGGGACGACTTCTGATGTCATAGATGATTGGGTATTGGAACCATGGGATTCTAAAGTGAAGACCCTCGGCGAAGATGTCTTTTTGGATTCCACCAAGACGGGAGAAAATTATTGCTCTGTGACCTCCTTCAACTGGTAAGTTTAAAAATTTTAAATAATTTAATCAATTAAATTTATTTATTTATTTATTTAAAATTAATTATTAAATTTTTAATAAAATGATTTTTAATTAAGTAATTTTTTAGTAAATTAATAAATTATTTTTTAATAACAATCAATTTATTAAAAATTAATTTTTTAATTATTTTGATGAAAATTATTTATTTAATTTTGAGTAAAAATTAATTTATTAATTTTTAATTAGTTGTAAAACTTTTTTTAGAAACTAACCTGTGAACATAGATTGTGAAATTCCATAAGCGGCTGCTCCAGCTACAGCCAAAACCTTGAGACCGACTCCAACTCCTTTAGGAGGACTTCCACCAAATTTACCAGCCAGGTCATTCAAAGTGCTTTGTGCCATTTTAGAGTTTTTTAATCAACGATTTAAAAATTTCTTTGCAAAAATGCTGAGTTATTACGAAATTAGTAAAACTATTGCGTGCCGGCACACGTTTTGGAGAATTACTTGAAGTTGGCTTTTTATATTTTAAGACTTGACTGCGCTGAAGTTGGCTACTGAACTACGGACCTTATCGGTAAGTTAGAAATTAATTTTTTAATTAAAAATTAGTATAATTATAAATTTATTTATTTATTTTTATAAAAAATAAATTAATTTAATAAATTTTATTATTAAAAAATAAAATAATGTCTCAATTTTAATTTTTTTAATAAAATTTAAAAAAAACTTGTAAAGTTTGTAAGTTTTTACAAAAGTTTAATATTTTTTTAATAATTTATAAAATTTTTAATAAAAATTGTAACTTTTAATTAAAATTTCATTAATTTTTACAAAAAAATAAATTTATTTTTAAAAAACTCAGCAGATAATTGTAAATCAATAAAAATTCTTAGAAACTTGCCTTAAAATAATGACATCGTGTACATATATATAGTTATATGACAAGTGATACGTCATGTGGTATTTTAATCGTTTAAAAACTAATAATTGTTTCACTCTAGTATATCATTACCCAACAATTAATCAATTAATGAACAAACCATTATCAATTGTTGATTACCTAATTATCAGTTCCAGACCTAGCTCAATATTAACACCGGACTTAATTTAAAGCGACTAAGTATTGACACTTAACTTGAAAGCTAAGACCTTCAGGACTCCAAACTGCACTTTTATATTATATTGACTTCCATCAAGTTTATTTATTTAATTTTATTTAATTAACAAATTTTTTAATTATAAATTTGTGTCAAATATTTTTCAACCAGAATGGTGAGTCAATTTTATTATAATTAGAAACTTAGCAATTTATATTTTCTAATAATTAAATTTTTTGTTTTTATAAAATTATTTTGTATAAAAAAAAATGTTATAAATAATTTTTATTATTAATTGTTTAATTTTTTTTTAGATGAGGTGACATTTAATTCTGCAATGCGGAAAAAGTCTATTAGTTTATTACTGCTGTCGTTATTGGTATGGGGTATTATTACATACTTCCTTTTCCTTACACGAACAACAGACAATAGAGATAAGGTGACTTATTTATTGATAATAAATATATATGTTTAAACTTCTTTATTTTCAATTTTAAGTTATTCTTAATCTTTCTTTATTTTTTTTTTTACATTTTATTATTATTATATTGTTAACAACTTAAAATCAGCACATAATAATAATAATAATAAATAACAATAATAATAACAAAATTATAATAATGCTAGCATAGAGCTCTAAATTTTAAAAAATTATTATTATTATTATTATTATTATCATTATATTTTTAACAATTTAAAATCAACACAGACTAATAATAATAATAATAATAATAATAATAATTTTTAAGAGTTTGGAGTATTATTATAATTATTATTACTATCCTGTGTTGATTTTAAATTGTTAACAATATAATGATAATAATAACAATAATAATAATAATAAATAAAAATTATAATAATGCTTTAAACTCTTTAAAATCATTATTATTATTATTGTTATTATTATTATTATTATTATTATTATTATTATTATTATTATTATTGTCATTATATTTTTGGCAATTTAAAATCAACAGACTAATAATAATAATAAAATTATATTAAATTTGTTAATAAAAAAAATTTATTAAAAAATCTTGAAAATTTTTATTTAAATAATTAATTTTTTTTTTTAAATTATTATTAATATTATTGTTATTATAAACACTGTTAATTGTAGAATGTACTCTCGAATCAGATAAACAGCTTAAAGGCACAAGTTGAAAGGAGGATTGCTGACAATCAAATTCTGCTGAAACGTCTTATTAAATTGCAACAACAAAGTAAGTTTATTATTATTATTGTTATTTTACATAAAAATTGATTTTTTTTTATTTTTTAGAACTTGCAGAACAAATCAAAACACCCAGTCCGCTAATTGAAGAAATTTTAAATGCTACTTACCCAGTAGCTTCAACTGTTAAATTAAAAACAGAGGTATTATATATTTTTTTTTTCCACTAAATAATAATTTTTATTTAATAAAATTACTGTAATAATCATAATTAAATTTTCCAGGAAGAAATAATAAGCGAAAGACTCCAAGCACTATCATCAAAAAAATTAGTTAACGACTCGCCAATAATAGCCGTGCTAGTTATCTCTTGCAACAGAATCACAGTCCAGAGATGCTTGGACCAATTGATAAAATTACGGACTAATGCCGATCAATTTCCAATAATTGTTTCACAAGACTGCGAGCATAAACAGACTGCTGATATTATCAAGTCATACGGTGATCAAGTTGTACATATACAAGTAAGATTTTTTTGTTATTTATTTACAAGTAAATAAATTAATAAATTAAAATTAATAAATATTTTTTTTTGTTAAATAAATAATTAAATTAATTAATTGATTAATGAATTAATTTAGCAACCAGATCAATCAGATATTGACATTCCACCAAGAGAGAAAAAATTTAAAGGCTATTTTAAAATAGCTCGTCATTATGGCTGGGCTTTAAATAAAGTATTCTTTGAATTTGGATTTGATACTACAATTATCGTTGAAGGTAATTAAAAATTTAAAAATTTATTATTAATGAATTTAATTTAATTAATTAATTTTTTAAAAATAATTTCAGATGATCTGGATGTTGCTCCAGACTTCTACGAATATTTCCTAGGCACATATCCGCTCCTAGTAACCGATAAATCACTATGGTGCGTGTCAGCCTGGAACGATAATGGCAAATCTGGGCTAGTTGATGAAAACGCGCCGCACTTGCTTTATCGCACTGATTTTTTTCCTGGTCTAGGTTGGATGCTTACCAAAGATCTTTGGCAGGAATTATCTGTCAAGTGGCCCAAAGCGTTAGTAATTTTTTTTTTTTTTATTTAAATAAATTTTTAATCAATTTTTTATTATTAGAATTTTTAATTAATTTTTTATTATCAAAATTTTTAATAAATTTTTTATTATTAAGATTGATAATTTATTTTATTATTAAATTTTTTAGATACTGGGACGACTGGATTCGTCAACCAGAACAACGAAAAAATAGAGCATGCATCCGACCAGAACTTTCTAGGACTAGAACTTTTGGAAAAGTTGGCGTTAGCAAGTAAGAATTTTATTTAATTATTTTTTCTTTATTTATTAGATATTTTTCTTAATAATAATAATGATGATAATAATCATAACAATTTTTTTAGTGGATTGTTTTATGAAAAACATCTTAAATATATTAAACTCAACGATCAATCTGTGCCTTTTACTAAAATGAATTTAAGTTATTTATTAAAAGTGAGTAATATTCTTCATTAATGTTTTTTTAAGTGTAAAATATTTAACTAGATAATTTATTTATTTTTTTTTTTTTTAAGGATAATTATGACATTAACTTTGTTAATGACGTCTATCATTCGACGGTAGTAAGTTACTCGGAATTAAAAAGCGGTAATATTATAACATCTGGGTCCGTAAGAATTCCCTATCATTCACGGCAAGCGTTTAAAAATACTGCCAAGATGCTGGGGTTGATGGATGATTTTAGAGTAAGTTTTTTTTATTAATAAAAAATATCCACAAAATTTAATTAAATTTTTTTATTAAAAAATTTAACTATTGACATTTTTTAAAATATAAGCTCATCCCGATGATACACTTATCAAGAGCTTTCATTTGAATACCCACATGCAATTTCATATATTTTTCATATATACATATATATATATATATATATATATATATATATATATA